GGGTTCCCATTGCATGGCCTCCAACATACTCTGTTGATGATCGAATCCCTCTTCAGCACGAATATCATTATAGGCTGGGCATTCCAATAACACGTGTTTTTCATCCTCAATTCGGCTATTAGGACCACAACAGTGGCAAAACCGCTGCCCCCTGGGGACATGGTACTTGCCCCTTCGTGCTCTGTTCGCCTCCAAAGCCCAGCAACATAAACGAAACTGCATTAGCTTACGATGTGCTAAACGAGGAATGAAAACCTTAGCATGTGTTGGCCACATGACGGCTGCGGCTCCCGAAAAGGGCAGCCCCATCCAGTGCTTATACTTCGCCATTTGCACTCCCGGTTGCTTCCCATCTGATGGGTACTCCTCTGGCAAGACAGTCAGACGCGTATGGTCCCAGCCGCTCATCAAACGCTCTCTTAGTGCCGTTATTATCACTCCTTCTGGTAGAGGTCTACTCAACAACCAGTCAACACGCTCCTTTACCCCCACGACTTCTTGCGGTATTCCGCTCCAAATGTTGCACTCCAAGAAGGAAAACAGTCGTAACATTGAGATTCCCCAACCCTCCCATTCCGGGTTGGTCAGGGCATCGGTTATCTCCTGCCGTAAAACTGCATGAGCAATGGATCCCACTTGCTTTTGAAGGCGGTTCCAGAAACGGAGAATCTGCTTCACCATGTAATATTGTAAGGGAAGTTCAGCCAGCTCCGCGTACAACAGCCTGTGGGATGGCCGTGCCGTCCCCACTACCTGCCTCATGAATAAAATCTGCAGCTGGACTGCACTATCCTTCAAACAGGCTTCGAACATGCCCTCCGCAAGGTTGGCTTTATCCCGCCGCCTTCCCGCCCTGTCCACGACCTCTGCCAGCGCAAAAGGGCCCCACGCCTGGCAGCCATACAACAGAATTGCTCGGACTTGGGTTGCAAAACACCGCATTCGCACATCGGGGGCAAACAGCTTCATTTTGTCCAGCTTTGCGCTTAAGGAAAACATAGCGGACCGACCTGTATCACACAACTGCTGACGGCACGCACTAAAAGGCCGTTCTGGCCCATATACCAAGCCCAGATAGCGAGCGCTATCTTTGGCAGGTACTACCTGGCCTGATAGCCGTAACTGTTGACATCTCCCGCTAAGTTCCGACTGCTGGGTGCCGTCACATGCAAAAACAAGCCTTTCACACTTTGAGACATTTGGTCGCATCCCAAAAGCTTCACAAAACAAGTCCACAAGATGTAGCAACTCAGACATTCGCTCTACTGACGTCGCTAGCAGACTAACATCGTCTGCATACAACAGTAGGTGGCTTGCGGGAGTGGAGAGGAGGTGGGAAAGCGGTGGAGGAGAGTGGTTTAGAGGTGGAGAACAGGTGTTGCTGGTCCCGGCCGGTCAGGGTCAGGAGGGGAGGGATTCCGGTGTGGTAAGCGGGAGCAGGCGGCGTCTGTGAGCCGTGCCTTTTCCGGGCTTTATAGGGGGGCGCCGTGCTGGCTTGTCATCCCCCCCGCGGCTATAGGTGTTTTTGCTGTGTCTCGCGCTGGGCTGCATCCGAGAGCCTGCAACCCCAGGAGGAGACTGGCGTGCGGACCAGTTTCGCCTCGTTTGTGAGTGGACCGGCGAGGTAGTGGTGGCCACCCTCGGGAAGTGTTCGTTGTTCGTTGCTCGTGGTAGTTGAACAGCTGGCCTTCGAGGACCAATGTGCGAGTACTCGCTTTGTGTTGGTCTTTTCTGTGCAACCGTATCTCGGCTTTTGTGGTGTGTCGTCTCAGGCCCGTGGTCCTCCGTGTGTCCCTTGCCTTGCTGGCTGCGTGGGGCCCTGGTTCTTTTGTGTGTGTAGAGGAGGCCCCCGAGTAGAGCCCCTGCCCCCGGTGGTGTTTTCTTTTTGTTCTGGTTTTGGTGGTCAAGAGGGACGAGAGCGCGTGAATAGGCAGGCCAGCCGAAGTGGCGCCTTTCGTGCGGTTCTTGCATAGATCGGTTTGCGCCGCTGTGTTGCCTAGCCAGGGGCTGGGAGAGTGTCCCGGTTGGCGTGAGTGAGGGATCGAGGCGCGCGCGGAGGAACAGACGGACGTAGAGCCGCGCGCCCATCCCTGCGCTGTGTTTCGGCCCGGTCAGGGCCCCCGGTGCTCGTCCTTTATCGGGCGAGCCGCCCACAGTGTAACACCCCATCAACAGTATGGAGACGCGCTTGCTGTCCACAAGGGGTGCGTCACACTTACGTGCACCAGCTTCTACAAGGTCATGAGTATCAATCAGATCGGCTAGTGTAACACACGCATGGTGCTTTAGTCTGCGTGAAGCCTATGTGACGTCCCAAAGGTTGTCCAGGTAGGCCAGGGCAAACTCTGAACACTGACGCTGAGGGACTATAAAGTAACAAACTTTTGGGATAAATTGAAGCGACGTTTATTTCATACACATATTAAGAAAGCACGCAAGTGGAGTTGCTGGTCACCCTTGCTGCGAGCAGATATAGGTTGCTGCTATGGTCTGCTGCAAGCAACTCAGTAAGGAATGAACGCATCTGGGTAGAGACTGGAGATGTATATCGATTTAAACGAAAGAAATAGCAGGACGGGGCCCACGGGTCACTCCGCAAGCAGGCAGGGCAACGCGCGATGTTTGAAAGGGAAGCTGTCTTAACACGCGAGCAAGCCTCAGTAGCGCGTGTGCATAGGGGACGGACTGGATTGATGTGGGCCCTTGTCTCAACCTGCGTGTTGCAGGCATGGCGCAGAAGTTATAAAACCCAACATGCTAATCACGAACTTGCAGTCAGCAAGGAATAAGCGTTTCATCATTAAGCTATAGTTGAAAAGGTAAATCGATAACCTTCCTTGCAAAATCTTTGTGTCAAAGCAAGTTTACATGCGCCAGGGTCATGGCTGGGCGATTGGCGCGCCAAAAAACGTTGTCCTGAGGATCGGATCCAATGCCGTTGCCACAAACAGGTTCTGATTATAAGCGTAGCACGGTCCACAGTTTCCCAATATTTCCTCACATCAATTCTTCATAATAAAAACAATATCGTGCGTCGGGAGCCTCTTATCCATGTCGTAATAGCGTATCGGGGGGCTTTTCCCGGCGGGTGGCACTTAGATCGCCAGTAGCGACACGTAGCTTTTACGAGGGCATGCCAGGGTAAAGCAACGTGATTTCCACTTTGCAGTCCGTTTGTCAACCTACGATTTTGCTTCTATTGATCAAGGTGAGCTTTACCAGCAGTCGTGAGTCCAAGGGAGTCCAAGGACGTGACACGTTAGTATGGCGCTGGGCCCGCCGCGCTTTCCAGGCAACGTAAAGTTGATTGAGCATTCCGTCATATTAGTTGCTTCATCTCGTGGTGTAATGTATGTTATCCGTTCGTATACGGCTGGCAGCGAACAGCAGGCAACCTTAATTGTCTTTGCACGGTGCGCTGCTGCCCTGACGCTGGCATCCTTTGCTATATGGAAGCTGGGTGTGCACACTCCTCCCGGCAGTCTGTCAATTCTATGCCCCCAAAGGCCGACAAATAACTCCCTTTATGCGCAAACCTTTTCACCGCACCCTTCTGTCCCTATTACCTCCCTCATGACCAGGTACGTCTAAACTTGCGGACAGTAATTTGTTGGAGTGACTTCGGCTACTGCGATATTCCTCTTGCTTCGCGGGTCGCCTTCGCCTTCCACTTCAAAGACCTTCAAGCCCAACGACAGGCTCGTGTTATATTTTCCGCCGGTTAGCCCTCTCAACATTTGGCCTGACCTGCGCTAACAAGGGAGAGGAAGCCGGCAATCATGCAACAATTTCCTGGGCCAGCCGGCGGCGCCGGCGGTAACGGCGCATCGCTGCTGCATAGCGCGCTCTACGGGGCTCGATCTGGGTCAGGCAGCATGCATTCGGGAACAGCGCTCTACCGCAACTTCAATGCGGCACCGCGCGACAAGGGCATCCTGGCTGCAGCTGTCAGCGACGCCTTTAGTGAGTCAGTTTGTCCGGGCCGGCGCGAGGATTCGTAATGAGGCTGCACAAATATCTTCAAGCATCAGGCTTTTATGTCTTATCTGACCTACCTGCCTGTATGCTAGATGAAATTTCTATCCTCCAGCACGCGTGTCGGGTACGCTCTCTGGCGGACACAGAACAGCACAGAATGTTTGCCAACTCTCATATTTTGACCTTCGAGCCCTGCGAAGGTCACTTGGGACGCTTCTACCAAGAAAACAATTTACTTGCGGTTTACATGATGTGGGTCAGTTGTAGGACGTTAAGAATCGATTTACGTGATTTGGGTCAACGCCAGGTAGAAGAGGAGATTAAATTTATGTATGAAAGTAGCAATAAAACTACGCTTTTTTTATGAATCAGGACCGTGCCTTTTTTCATTTCTTACCGTAGCTTTTTCGTATGCACGTGATACACGACCGAAAATGCGTTTCCGCGCGTTTCTCCCCCACCCAACCCCAGTGTCGCCGGAGGACGAGCCAGTTTCCATCGCGGCGGCGGTTGACCCCATGGCCATCGACGCGGCTCGCTACAACGCGGCCGCGGCGGCGCTCATCGGCGACAAGGCTGGCGGCAGTAGGGCGGATGGCACTCACCGCCTTAATCTGGGCGTGGTGAACCTGGCGGCGGCGGCGGCAGCTGCGGGTCCTGATGGATCGACGCAGGCGGCTCTTGCTCACCTGCAGCAGCACCAGCAGCAGCAGCAGCCCGCGTCCAAGGCTGCGCTGTACGGAAATTACCAGGTGCGGATGAAGGGACTCTCGAGGAAAGAATTCTTTCTTGTAACCAATGTTTTCTGTAGAGCTGGCATTCCTCGACATCCCTACCATGGATTGTTACAGAATTGGGTTGGGCAGCTACAGCTACACGATCGGGATTGCGGCTCCTTGAGGATACGCGGAACTGAAGTGCGCCTTCATCTTCGCCTACCCCGCCATCCAGCAGGCACGCGCTCCGCTTGCTCCAAGCAATGGACTCGCTACGTCGCTGTACGGCAATAGCCGAGCCGCCCCGGCAGCCGCCGCCGCCGCCTCCACCGGGGGTGACGCCGCCGGCGTGCAGGGCCTACATCGCTACAACGCGGCCCAGCTGCACCAGCTGAGCGTCGTACGGCAGATTCAGCTGCGACAGCAGGCTGCGACCGCTGCAAAGCAGCAGCAGCAACAACAAGTTCACAGCCAGTCCATGGCTCAGACAAAGGCAGAGCAGCAGGCTCAAGTGCTGGCTGCGGCAGCGGAGGTAGCCCAGCAGGTGGGGACTGCTGCTGAAAGGGAATGAGCGCCTCTGATGTTGTTAAGATGCAAATTCAGGTGATTTCCTCTGGCTTTGTTGCACAAATATAATTTGGTGAAGCTTTAAGAAAATTTGATAACTTAGGGTTCTACTACCCCTGCGCACTGTTCTTCGGCGACATTTTAGCAGGAAATCATCTTGCCTGCTGGTAATGTTTATCCTGTGCACTGTCCTAAGGGGACATTGACTAGCCGTTGTGATCGGTTTTTCGAGGGATTTTCTGATGACAGGTGGTGCTGACCGTTTTGTGGACAGGTCGCCGCACGCAACGCCGCCGCCGCTGCGGAGCAGCAACGTCAGACCCAGCAGCTCCAGGCGCGCTCAGCCGCTGAGAAGCGCCTCTTAGCCTCTGCGGCGCCTGGGGATGCCTCGGTAAACGCCGCCGCCGCCGCCGCCGCCGCTAGCGAGTCCGCCGCCGCGGCAGCAGCCAATCACTCTACCCTGTACAAGCGTGCCTCTATGGCGACGGATGCCACGCCTACCATTCTGTACAAGCGGCCCGCGCTTGGTGGTGGCGCCGCTGTCGCCGCGGCTACCGCGCCACCAGCCCAGACGGACTCCACGGCTACCGCTCAGGCAGCGGCGGCCGCACGAGCGCCGGTATCTGCCCTGTACGGTGCTTACTGTGCCGATCGCCAAGCCGCGTCCGCCGCCGCGTCAGCTGTAGCTAGCGAGATGCTGCAGCGGCTGGGCCACAGCGCTGCTGCCGCGGTGGCAGTGCCGCCAAGCCGGGCGGCACATGAAGCCGCAGCCCAGTCCGCCCAATCGTCCCAGTCGGTGCAGCTCATGGCGGTCAGCCCGGCACACGAGGTTAGTGATGTCTGTGTGTGTGTGTGTTACATGGTTGGGGGGTGCGTGACCCCATACCTGTAAGACTACCCATACGAGCCGAAGGCCCAAGGGCAATACTACAACGCCTAAAAGCCACCGTGATGTCTGAAGTGCGCGAACTTTTGTTGATGCAACAAACCTTAAGTTTCATTTTGCAATTTCACTTTGCACATGTAAACTGTGAAATTGTTAATTGGTACGACCATGGGCGTCTGGACAGGGGGCACCTAACAGGGCCATAACGTTATTGTGTCGAGGACGTTTTGTTTTAGTGTGTCCGAGCATCTTTTTTGCATTCCTAAAGCCTAATCGGTACTAATATTAATTGTAGATTTTTTTACTGATTGTCCACCTCGGTTCTTCTTTGGGCGGTGTTACAATCTGCGCTGCTCAAAATTTGCAGGAGGACAGCCGTACACCCGGCGACTCGTCCCATTGCTCCGAGACCGCCTTCCTCGACTGTCACGAGGATCTGAGCGACGACACCGGCATGTCCGACGGCTTCGGCACAGACGTCAGCGGCGGCAGCAGCGCCAAGATGTTTTCCGGAGCCAAACGCTACATCCACATGACGGCCGCCGCCGCCGCCACCAAGACTGTCACGCGGCCGTACGGCCTGGCGTACTTCCCGACCGTTTACTCGGACGTGTCGTCACCGCACGCGCTGGCCTTGGCGAACGACGTGATGACCCGCATCCGTCTGCCTGGTACGGGAGAGTACCTGTCTCTTTCGCATGCACGATAGTCAGGCAGCAGGCCCACATGCTTGCACATACTGGCCCGTTAGCCAGTGGCATGATCTGGATCATATCTGTCAGAGCCACGATCGAAAAAGAAAGTGTTTGGCGTTTGGTCTTGTTGGACTGTAACACGTCTATTAATAGCGTACTCGGTCCGTCCATCTGCCCCTTTTCCCTCTCCAGATGATGTGTGAAGATATATGGTTTTTGTCTCCACTCCTGTTGTTGTGTTGTCATGAATAATGTTATCCTGTGTTTTGTCTCCACGCCACAGGCGGTATCCGCTTCATGCCCGTAAGCAGCGATTCGATGCTGTACTACAACGGAGTGCATTGGGGCTTCTCCGCCTTTGCCCTTGCGCTGGGTTCCTCCTATTTCCAACGCCTGGTGGAGATCACTCCCACGCTGAACGCGGCAGTTCGCCACGCGCCGCCATTCGCCGCGTACGCTGCCTACATGCGAGACGGCGGCGGTGTCGCCCAGACCAAGCAGCAGCAGCAACAGGAAGAATATCTCCATGTGAGCGAGCGTTTTAAGTTCTCCGTCGGCGATATGCCTTGAATGATATTGCCGTCCGGCCTCCGTTGACGAAGTGCTGGTGCTATTCCACCCAATCCCCACCGTGGTGGCGTTTCCTTTTTCTGATCCGCTGTCGTCCCAACTTTCTTCCATTCCGACTGGCAGAAGGACGGCCTGCGCTCCATCCTGTTCACATGCGCCTACCTGGCCACCAAGGTGGTGGATCGCATGCCGCATACCGACATGCTGCGCCGCATGCTCAGCATGCTGTACAACGTGCCGGTGTCCCGCGAGGAGGCGCACTCGGTAGGTCCACTTTCTCGGTGTGAACATTTTTGGGCTAACTACGCGGTCACAGCGTGTTGGTCGTCCTCAACCTCTTGGCCGATACTGTTGCACTAAAATGGCACGATGACCGCGCACTATCTGCGCAAGACCCTAGAAACTTCAGCGGCGGCAGCGCAATAACTGGTGTCTCGGCTTTTCGATTCTGTTACGGTTTTGTTGGTTGTTAAGTTTGGGGGAGCCGCCGAAAAACCTTGTATTAAAGTGCAAATGAGTTTGCTTTGCGCAAACAAAAGGCTGTGCCCCTTTTCATATTGTATCCCAACGTTTTGTGGATAAATCTCTACACGGTACGGCTCTTTTGTGTGACGCAACCAAACCTGGCATATGCATATGTATGCCCGCGTATACAGGTGGAGCTTAAGTGTCTGGAGGGGCTAGGCTACCGGTTGGGGCCGTACTTCGTACACAACATGCTGGATGACGAGCCCCCTTGCTGTGACGTGTACTGAAGTGAATGGTGTCACGCCAGCACTGATGCCGTATGAGGATCACAACGCTCGTACAGCGCCGTACGGATGGAGCACGTCCCACAGATGTTCGCCGGCCGCTGAGAGGCGGTGTCATTTTAAGCCAGCCAGCCAGTTGGTATGTTTGTTTGCTAACTAATGTGCTGTTGTGTTTCCTGCATTAGGGCGCTTTGCCGTAATCCATGGCTGATCGTAGGTGCGCAACCGTCGTCCTAATGTTGCCGCCGTCAAACCGAAAGCAACCAAAGGAAAATTGTTGTTGCTAACCGTGGATGAGAGATAAAGCAGGATGAATAGCACAGAAAGTCGGTGTCTGGCTTGTTGCGAGGCAGGAAAATGGAGAGGGGCCATTTTCTAAAAAACAGCAGTCTCCACAAACGCCGGTGGAAGAAGGCTTTGTTTGTTGCATGAGGTGGGAGTCGCGGGTCTGTTCTTGTACTTTTATTCGTAGGTGGTCGAGTGTTTGCTTTACGCAGTGTGTGGAATAAAGCTCTGCTCGCGTGGCTAGTCCGGAGAGCAGCAACATGTAGGAGCGTTAAGAGTGAGAGAAGAAAATAGAATATGGAAAAAGCTTTTGCTATGGGCCGTACGATAGCCCATGCGCACAGCCAAGGTTGTCGCAGAGTCGCAGAGAAGAATTGGAAAATTGTTTGGGCGGTCGTTTTCCGTTAACCGGCCCCGACTGCAGAGCTGAAGTTTCCCGCCAAAACCCGTAGATGAGGTGGAGGTTTGGTAGACCCCATCGCAACCCGTCGCCGCTGTCACCGATGACACCGCCGTAGTGTTATCGCACAAACATTTAGGTAGATCAGGTACCGATGAAAATGTTCCCTCTTAAATTTAGTGCCGCTGTACTTTTATTCCCGCGCTGAAAGCTTTGTTTCGTTCATACACCGTTTACTTGGATACGGATGGCAATGTTGTGAGGAGGAAGGAAGGAATCCCTTAGGGTTTTTTTCTCCAAGAACAGTATTTTTTGTGTGTGCTTAGTTAGCCTACGTGTAAGGATATAAAAATACCTGCACACATGTGTGTGGATTTGTAGACTCTTGTCTGCGAGAGTGGGGTTCACAAGGGGTAACCAAGGTGTTCTGTATCCCCCCCTTTGGGGATGGCACCCTTGGACAATAGTAGCTGAGCAAAGCACATGCGACCGGACGGTCGGAAAGTATAATGAAGATCCTCCTATCGCATGGTTCATACCGCACTGCAGAGGTGGCTTCTGCCCTGCAGAGGTGGGTTTCGCACGCTTCGCGTAGCCATGTGCTTCGCCAGTCGTTGAATGAATGGAGGAGGGCGAACACAGCTTTACGATGCTCGCTTCGGTTCCTTGGTGGTTCACTGAGGCTATTGGGCGGTATTTGGGAGTTTTCAGGACTACTCTGCGCGAAGTGCATGGGTAGATGGGAATGGCAAGGATGGCGGCTGAACGGCTTGTAGCATGCTGAGACTTATATCGCTTTATGTCTCAGGGCGTCAGGGCGAGCCGATATGCAAGGGAAATCTATTTTAATCTCTTGCTGTTAACTAGAATCCGCGGATCGTCGTCTCATGGGCGCTTTGTCGAACGTATGAGATTGTGATGAACGAGGAATGAATCGCCAGGGTTTCCTTGGAGGTTTGTCTCCCCTTCGGATTGGCGGTTCACTGCACAGCAGTAGCTGTGTCTCTGTTACATAGCGTACGTTACGACACTGCCTGGTTATCAGTTGATACAGCAGCTGATATGAAAAACAATATACATCTTCCCTTTTTATGGTCTTATTACCGTCTGGACATTCTAGGGGTGAGTCTGGGCTATGAGACGCAACCATATTTCTTATATGCGCTATTGAAAGTACGGAAATATACATGGGATTGACGAGGCAAGCCGGGCTGTGCTATTACGACGGCGGCTGCACGCATTCCTACGGCCGTACGGCCTTGGGAGTACGTCAGCGGACGCGGTTATCTGGTACGTGGGCTCCCTGTTTCAATTTTTCGTATCGCAGGGTTATAAAACCCTGATTGTGCACAACCGGCCGGTTGGTGCCAATCCTTCGGAAGTTCGTAATAGCGAAGACTGACGAAGCTGTACTTAGGGTTAATCCTACCCTGCCTTTCGCATTCTGTTGTCATGGATGATCCGGATTTCAGGTGAATACGGCATGCCGTCGACAGAGGGATTTCTTACCTTGTGCTCATCTCTGCTGCGGTAACTGTATTTGTTAGTTTTTCGTACGGAATCCCATTCATCTTTTCTGTTGCATTCGAGTTTTTTTTTCTTTGCCCCCAGCTGCGTAGACATGCCATGTCTAGTGTCGTCAGCAGGCAGGATGGTTGTGCGGTCCTGCATGTGAGCGCGTGGGGCAAGGCGTAGGTTGTCGGTCGGCTTTATACTTGCTGAATTTCGTTGCATTTTCGCTGTGTGCGTGCTCGTTACCAATGCAAGTTTTGCTTCGAGGCTTGGGAGCGCCTGCTGCCTTGTACACGTACATATAGTGTTTCGTGCATATTCCCTTGCCAATCGTACCTTGCATAAGCGACGCAGCGCGACGGAGATTTTTACGCCACGGGAAAGGTGTTACCTTGGTGGTCTGCCCTTTGCACACTTACCTCGAGGTCAAAAAAATAGCATGGAAGGGTGGTGGTGCTGGTGGAATGCGGGCCGTCGAAATTGCATACATGTAAGAGTGGCATATGTAACACTGTTGCAGAAAACGGATAATATAGAAGTTCGGGTTTCAGAACAATCCCGGAAACATCATTATGACACATGGAACATATGAGCACCGCATCGTGATGAGAGAACACGACGACAGCCCTACAGCAACAAATATCAACGCACGGACTGCCTCCATCATAGGAAGGAACGAAGTCCAGGCCGCGTAGCTACTACTGTGTTTTCAGTATGCAGTTACCCTTTGCAGGACGGAATGATCTTTAAAACATTATCCTTAAATTTACCACGCGAATGTTATGAATGGATCCTGGGCTGCATCCTGGGTGGGTCGTGAGCTGTGGATGCATCGTTTGTTGCTGTTGTGCTGGCCACTTATTGGGTTACGTTTAGGGTATTAGGACCCTCGGATCATTTGGTCTTGCGTGCCTGTCGGGTGCAGATGCACACCACAGGTCGTTGGCTAGTTGGTTGGCTAGTTGGTTGGTTGCCGTGCACTCGTACGACCATATAGGAGCATATGCAAAGCTGGGCCACTACTATCATACAAAGAAGCAGTCAAGCGGCGTCAACCCGCAGCCAGTCCTACATTTTCCCTGTCAACAAAATTTGCCAAATACTTGCGCGCATCGTGAATACTCGCGTGCTGCCTCCCCCCCATGTGCGTTGCGTAAATATAACACTGTACACAGGCGCATAGCAGATATGTGGTACGGGTGTGTAAGTTCGTACACATCGGTGACCACCTCTGTTTGCTGCGATGCGTGGCAGTGGGTAGGTAAGTACGGCGATATGTACACATCTACAAAGATGTACCGGCAGTCCGGTGAGTTCTTGTGCCGTAGTCGTATGTGTAGATAAACATGTTCTCGGACTCGCTTTTTCCGTAAACCTAGAATCGCTGAAGTCCTGCATGGGTATGTGTGGTGTTAGCATGGTCGCCATGTTGTCCAATTAGGAAACTAGGCGCGCGTGTGCACCGGTGGATAGCATTAGTTTCCGATGGCATGGAAGTCCATCGCTGTGTTGGAGAGACACCCAATGGCTTTTTGTTATCTGCTATTGCAGCTGCATTGCAGACTACATCCAATCGCCAGGCGGCCGACCTGGTTTTCGTAATGTTGAGCAGGCAAGTTCCACGGCAAGGTCCCTTCTAGACGCCGCCAGGGTAGGCTGCTGCTGCATTCGGGAACCCCCCGCATGCATGAATGCACCGGAGCTAGCAGAAAATTAGGGAGGAGCGTCCATACCTCTGCGGCGTTATTAATTTTGGGTTTACAGTTTGCAACCCCCGACAAATCGCGGTGAGTGACAGCTAGGGGGCGCTCTCAGATGTCGCAGTGGCGCTGGCCTGCCACCACCCGCATAACCGCTTCCCTCACCCGTCTGCGGCACCTTCCTGCATCGACCTTCCTAGAGACTGACACCGGACTTTCACGACGTGTTTCATCTCGTTGTGCTGACGGAACTTGAACTTGAACTGGAACAGGAACAGGAACAGGAACAGGAACAGGAACAGGAACAGGAACAGGAACAGGAACAGGAATGCATCCACCCTGGTGTCTAAACAACAGCGGTATCAGTTACACGAATTTACGAAGTGCTGCTGCTGCGGGTTGCTGCGCGCCTGGTTGCAAGCCGTGGAGAGGCGCACGTCAGATGCTCCGATTCATTTCCGAGCAGGAAAGTGCCGCAGATTTGGTTGATTGTCACACACAGCAGTGCAGCCATCAGTATGGGGAAGCAAAGGTTACTAAGGTTTGAGACGGAGCCTTGAGGCTTCGGTGGTGGTGTCTTGGCTTCTTTCTAGCTGCCTCGCCCGTGCACTCTTCAGCTGCTGCTGTGCAGCTGGCTGCAGTACTACGCTGTCCGGAGCCTCCGCCCCGCAATGTCCCTCGGCAGCCAGCTCCATCTCTCCGTCGGGGTTTGCCCTACCTTGCATTTGCCTACCGCTTGCAATACATTATGTTTTTGTCAAAAAGGACAATGGATGCATAAAAAAACCGTTGGCATTTCTGTCATGGCGTTAGCACCGCTGCGGCGCGTTTGCGTAGTATATTTGCAGATTCCAGACAGGCCACGGCTATATTTGTAAGGATATTGTGGATGGATGAAATGTAAAAGATGAAAACCTCCAAAAAGCGAGCGCAGTTTCGCTGCAGCTGTCGGTCCCAGCCACACAGACGCATTTCGACGGCAGTTCTTTGGGTTATAACTTATGCGATGTCATTGTTGAGATACGGTCGGGTGTTGACCTTTGATGTTTTGATGTTTTGATTACATCTTGAGCTTGTACGGCTCAAACGAGCCAGAGGCTCACGAGCTCTGAGCTCGAAACAAAAATAAAAAAAGGAGTAAAAGAAAGAAAATAATCATAATAGATCAGAAGCCAGGTGAGCTGCATAAATGAGTCAACTATTGCAACCTATGGCTCTGTACGGTCTGATCTGTTGACACCAGATGCAGGTTATCATCCTTAGGTTCAATTCCTGGGCAGATACCCGACACTGATCCGGAGTATGAAATGATCGCCATCTATTGAGATGCGGCCATCACAGTTGATGGACTTAGTTTCGGATGATGGATTGGTGGCGATTGCTCTCTTGTCTCTGCGGATGTTCAGTTGACTGGATGAGGAGGGATTCTAGATAGCAGGATAAAAACCGCCTTGAACTTTAAGTTAAACTTTCGATATGTTATCGCCATGGCCCCCCGGCTTTGACGCACACCCCCGTACTCGTGCGGAACTAGTAAATCTGTACACAATTCAAGATATGCGCTTGACCGCGTTGGTTCTCAATATTATCCATCACCGCATCCATGGCAACTTATGGCGCAGCGCCTAAGTGCCAAAGCTCAGCACGTATGTCTGCGTGTACAGGACATTCGAGCAAGACATGTCGTCTACCTGACGATCATCACAGACCCGACACCACCATGCTGCATGCTTCCTGCCATGCGGTCGGTTTACAGCCAACGGCCAGAGACACATCCGGCGCGCCTTCGTGAGCGGTGTTGTTTCGGCAAGATATAGCAGGGTGCCCCATCCACCGCAGCATCTTCATCCCCGGTTGCCTGTTGTCGGAAACGAGCGCATTCGGATCCACCTCACGCCGCTCACTACCCCAGTCGTCATCAAACTGGTCTCGGATCTCCTTCATCAACCGATCTACGCTTCGAACATGCGATGCAGCAGTCCCTACTCTAGCTCGTACGGTCGGAACTGTGCGCAGAGCTATGAGTTAAGAGTAATGTGAGGGAGATTGTTGAATGCGATCTGTCATGCTTGCAATGGAGACGACTAATCGATTGATTGAGTTATTCCTGAGCACCTATCCTGTAACGGTATTACGAAGTTGCTTCCCTGTCCGACTGCGCGTCGCAGCGATCACAGTCATATGATCCCCGTTTTGTTTGCTTCTATTGTATCGACTTTAAGGGACAGAGTTATTAGAAGCTACTGTTGTACCTGGCAGTACTAGTGTCAACAGCACGCATTTCACGCGCAGCCGCATGCCAACTTCCCTGCAGCACAGCAGGTGCATATGCAGGCCCTTGCGTGAAGCAAGATATGAGTATAGAGGAGTCGCCAATGTACGCTTTTGTTCATTTATTTTGTGATTTGAGTTTCAATTGCTTAAAGCCAAGGCCTTCCATGCTCTAAACACTCCAAGCACATTTAGCAGCCGGCCCCTTTGTCCCGAGCAAGGGAGGCCAGATTCCGGTTGCATCTTTTGCACCTGATCACAGGGTAGGTTGGTGTCGGCCCCTATGGCGAATCCAAGGGCCAGCCCTGCGGGGCTGCTGGTGTTGCGTCCCAGAGCCTTCAGCAGGACACGGGTGCAGACAAGCATTCCAGGTTCTAGAACACAAAATGATGAAGTACCTTTGGATAGCCATACAAAGTGTTCACAAGATGCTGCAGTTTTCGAACACGACGTCGGGGCTTCTCCATCGATCACTGGTGGCTTCCAGCCATTAGCGACGTCCATGAGCGCCTTGAAAGGCATGCTGCTTAATGATTCTCAGGTGCGTTGGATAACGCAGCTTTGACAGCTTTTCTGCTTGCGTAAGGTTACGGACTCGCGTTATGACAGTTCATAAACCGCAGTCACGTATGCTCTGTATTCCTTTTACCCTGATTTGCAACCAAAATCCTTGCGCAGATGAAAATTTTGAACAAGGCTATCAATGTCCCGGCTGACGTGCTGGTGGGCCGCTGTGCGTCGCAATCGGTGCGATTCCCGGTGCAGCAAATCCTGCGCACCACCTTATTCGTGGCTTATCACGTCGCACCTATCTTGGCGTTTATCGGAATTTTAACCCAGTCCGACTTGGCGAGCCATATCGCGGCCAGTGCCGAGCTGACGGCAACGGTTTGCGCCATGCTATTCTCCGCTGACACAGCGGAGTCCGCAATCCCATTACCTTTGCCGGTCGAGGCCATTGCCGTGGCATCCTCCCTTTTAGCCGCCTGGATGAGCCTTTGCGCTGCAGCGGCGGGCCTGGCACATCTGGATCCCCACCATCTGAATGTGATGGCGACCATGGAACAGGTATGAAATGGTCTAATCCAGGAACTAAGGCTCAGTTCATTACAAATTTGTCGATAGATTGCGCTAAATTATAGCCCACTGGAGGGTGTATGTATGTATGTATGTATGTATTGGACCCTTTCCTCCCTATCACCGCGGATGTGGCTGTGGCCGCTCTTTAGCTGATCTTGCCTCCCTGCAGGCATTGCTTGACTCCTCTTCTTCCTTCGTCTCGTCCTTCCTTATCCTCTCCTCAATGACAACCCGCCTGCATTGCTTCAGGCTTTCGACCTGGTCATTTCGAGCTCCTGTTTGTCGGAGAGCTGCGAGGAACTGATGGACCTTATAGCACCTGGATGGCAGATGATGTTGCAGCAGATTGTCGCGATTCGGAGGCCAGCAGGCAGCACAAAGATCAGTGATGAAAGAGGGGAGAATTAGCTGCACCGCCGGAAGGGGCGGAAGGTAGGTGTGGACCCGGTCCTGAGGGACGGCAGGAGGACTCAGACACGGGCGAGCAGCAGGAGGACCGCAACAGCAGCAGCAGCAGTAGCAGTTTCTCCACTAGTACGAGCTTCAGCGGTAGCGCCAGTCTGTAGCATTAGCTGCTACAGCAATAATGGTCGGTGTACGGGATTGCTTGCGTGCATGACGTCAGTTGAGTAAAAAAGCGGCGGAGAGAGGTAGTTAAGTGACGACGAAGTGTGCACACGCAAGGTGCATGAAAGTTGAGAGAGCGGCATTGAGAGCGGGGGCAGGAGGCAGTGACTAGCACCCTCCCATAAGTGCGGCCATGAGGGAGGGCGGAGGAAGGGCGGAGGAGGGCGGAGGCCAAGTAAGCACCCAGATCTGACCTCCCCTGCCCTCCGCAGCGTATATACACACATACATAAATACATACATCTAGTTGAATGAAGCTGGTAAAGCCTTTTTGATTTTTATGTGACGCCTTGGAGATTGATTTTTACTCTTGTAGGGCAGCGTGCTTGCGCGTGCGCGAGTGCGGACGAAGCTGCTGCCAGACGGTGTCGCTACGTGCGGCAGCGCCGTACAAAAGGTTTTGGGTTGTATCTATACTCGTATGTAGCCCCACCCAAAAACATAAAGGGGCCCTTGCTTTCGTCGTACCTGTGCATTATTAGCTTGCTCACTTCAACCGCAAGGGTTTGTATCTCGTAAAAAAAGCCATTTGCATGTTTGTGTATGGATGCTTGCCTTTTTTTTTGAGGAACTAGATGGCCCTATGGCACATAGGACATAATGCGATGAAGTGATGAGGGTTGTGAGCTCAAGCGGGATCGCTGAGTCCATGGGCGGCCATAACTGTTTAGCGAGCCTGCTGGTCTCCGACCGGCGAAAGTGAGTAGGGGCTACATATTTCGCAGGTCGCGAATCGCTGCGGTGCTCGTTTTCTTAGACAACACCACCACCATTATTGAGGCAGTGGAGAGGAGCAGTGCTGTGGACGTGTTTCCGTTTGCGTATGTACGTACACATATATATATATATATATGTATGTACGTATGTATGTATGTACGCATATGTACATATTAGGGAGAGTGTCAACCAACGGTATGCAACGGTTCGCGGGTCGGTCGTGTGCCGCCTTGTGGGCTGGTGCGGGTGGTGGCGACGGTGCAGGGCAGCAGGTCGGTGCAGGTCGGCAGTGAATGGCTCCCCAGGGTTGCGGAATTTGGGCGGCCGGGTCGCCTTCGCGCGTTACATTTTAATTTCTCTTCGCTCCTGTTTACTTTTGTCCTTTTTTATTTGCAATTTGCAATGTTGTTCCCGCTCGCCAGCCCTTACAAGGCGGGGGAGAGGGTTGCAGTATAGATGCGGTGTTGTAGTTGCGTGACCGACTCCCGCCTGCAGCTTGAGGAAAGGAGCGAGAATGGGGCCACGTGTACGTGGGTGCGGACATTTCGCAGCCTTTGCATTGCGACTAGTGTTTCTAATTAGCACGTGTTTCCTCTTACTTCCGATATGATTTCCTTTTTTGTCGACAGTTTTTTTTAGCCCATAGAATACACTTGCATACCTACGAGCTGATGCTTGCGATTTATTCTGAACGATGGTTGCATTGCCGTTCATTCTTGCAGCAGAAGGCTGCTGTGGGCTGGCGGCCTTGTCGTACCACTAGTATATTAGAAAGCGTTGGCAGACTCCACCCTGGGTGGCAAGTCCCCGCTGAAATTTCTAATTTAGGTTTTTCCTTTTTCTTTTTCTTTTACAATTTTAAACCAATCTAGAAGATTTTTGTTTGGCATTTTGTATGCTCATCGTGGTGGCTTGTTGCAGCCTTGAGCTGACCGCCGGTAAACGTCGTACTCTCAAAAAAGTGTTTTGATTACTCGGCTTTGCATCTAATCTATATTTTTGGGCGGGGCCCCAGCGCGAAGCGCCCAGGGGGGCCCCGACCTGTAGGATTGCCCATGTCCGTGTGTGTGTGTGTGTGTGTGTGTGTGTGTGTGTGTGTGTGTGTGTGTGTGTGTGTGTGTGTGTGTGTGTGTAACGGACCAAACATAATATCTCGCCCGGCTGAAACGCGTTATAGGTACTATACAGCATTCTCTATTGCAAGGTATCTCGCATGTAGCCAACAAAAATCGTATGAGCACAAACAAGTTTGGCTGCCTCAATTGACCGAGGCCAAAGTCACATCAACGCCTCTCGCGCTAAATTTCATCTCAAAAGGTACCGCGTATCTCTCATTTGAATTCTTAGATGACGGCGTATGATAACTCGAACTCCCAGGCCTTGAGTGTGTAACGGACCAAACAGAATATTTCACCCGGCTGAAACGCGTTATCGGTACTATACAGCATTCTCTATTGCAAGGTATCTCGCATGTAGCTAACAAAGACCGTATGAGCACAAACAAGTTTAGCTGCCTCCATTCACCGACCTCAAAAGCCACATCAACGCCTCTCGCGCTAAATTTCATCCCAAAAGCTGCCGCGTATCTCACAATGGAATTCTGAGATGACGGCGTATGATAACTCGAACACCCAGCTTGTGTTACCATTTGCCGGCATGGGCAATCCGACTTGCCACCAGCAGGCCAACATAACTTGCTTTCATTTCTCTATGAAATACACAAGCTCCTTGTTTGTACATTTACTTTGGCCAATGCACGGGGCCTCCTGAGACTTGCGGTGTGCCCCGATGAACCCCGCGGCTGTGGGGCAGATTGCTGAGGCCGCTGGCGCTTCGGGGATAAACATCACAGACAGCACCGAAATTCACCCAGCTTTCGTTACCATTTGCCCGCACGGGCATTCCGACTTGCGGTCTGCCGCACTGTCCATGCGGCATGCACCCGGAATGGATGCGATTCGCGTGGAGCCCGCAGGCGGTGCTGACGATTCCGCCAGTGCAAGCTTAGCTCTCACACCATCAGCACTGCTGCAACAAAGCATATCTCCCACCGCGTTGACACTACCC